GCAGTACATCAGCGCGGATGTATGTCGGCGTTATTGGGAGACGGGGACGCCGCTCCCGTGGAGCGACGTCCATCTCCCCAATAACTGGCATCTCTCCGCCGACCGGGTCCCGATCCCGCCGGTTCCGACGAGCGGTCGTGCGCGCCGCGAGGAGATCGAGCGTCGCCGCCGCCTCCTTTCGGATGACCTGTACTACGACTCCAGATACGCCCCCGACTCCGTGCTCTGGGACACGTGGTTAAGGGACGAGCACGACGTGCAGCGCGCCTCTTTCTTCGTCGGCACGTCGTCGGGGCCGCGACGGCCACGTCGAGAGCGCGCAACGCTGCTCCCAAGGTGCGCGGGCGTACGCGGGTGCGCGGCCTCATGCCCACGCTGCCCCCTTCACCATCTCCGTCGCCACCACCACCACCTCGCATGACAGCGGAGGAGGAGGCCCGGCTCATGCAGCGTGTCATGGAGAACACCATGAAGACGCACGATGAGCGCCAATGGGAGGGCCTCGAGGAGATGATGGCCCTCTCTGCGACCGGCGACGTCGCCATTCCCGAGCTGAAGATGGTAAGGGCGGAGGAGGTGATGGAGGAGGAGCCGGTGGCCGCGTTTCACCCGGGCCTGGTGGGCCATCAGTGGAGCTGGTCGTGCACGGCTCCGGATATGGCTGACGCCGTGGGGGGCGTGAACTGGTGACCGACGCTGCCGCGATCATCGGAGGAGGTGGTGCAGGCACCTCCCGCCTTCCAGCCAGCCCCCGTGTACCACGCATTGCCGTCCCACCTTTGAACGCCGCCGGACTTCGTCGACCTCGTCAGTGACGACGACGACAACGTCGGCCACTGAAGATGGCGACGACGACGACATCGACGGGCACGGCAGGAGCGCACGGGCATCGGTTTTATTTTGTTTTTTATGTTAATTATGGCAATGTGAACCGTAAAACTGGGCCGTTTTGTGGCCGTGATGGTTAATTTATGTTTTATGTTTTTATATTTGCATTTTTTTGGCATTTCATTTTAGTTTGTTAGTTTTTTTAATCACATCCACGCCGGACATGACTTGGGGTGCGGCCGCGGGTTGGCCATACCAACACCCCAACGGACAGAAGCGGACATGGACAAACTCATTGACATCCCAAAAAGATAAAATTCGGCTAAACCGGACGTCCGCTCGAGGCTGTGCAGTGGAGTTGGCCTTAGGATGCTCGGCATGATGCATGCTGCTGCGAGCCCTGAAGTCATCTCGGGTGCACGCAGTAAGCACTGTAGTTAGCCGTGCGAGTGGGCAGAAGAACGAATTTTGCAAGGGCATGACAGAGTTTATCCACTCTTATCACCATGTAGTAAACTAAAAACTAGCATGGTTACCAATAAGCTACGTACATTCCCTCGCAAAAAAGAAATAAATAAAATACGTACATCTTCCAGGGAAAAAAGTGGGCACTGGGTGGTGATAGCTCCATCTATGGCCTGGACCGAAAGTTCTCTTCCAAAAGTTCAGATGCAACAAAACGATTGAACAAAAAAGCGAAGGCACAGCCCGAACTGGAATGGATGACAAAGATGGCCACACGTTCTGCCCTGCCCGCGTCTCCCTCCTCGAACTGGATAGGAACAGGATAACACCGGCTTGATCAGCAGCTCGCCCTGTAGGAGGATATCACATGCTGAAGAGGTTGCCGTTCGAGCTGGCCCCGGGCAATCCACGACGGCGACGCCGAATGCTTGCACCCCTGCAGTCTGCAGAGATGGCTTGCAAATTGCAACTGACTGAGAATGAATAAGCTAGTAATCTTGGCTTGTTTTATCAGCAAACCCACACATAACCTTTCCATGTACCACTCACTACTGAACTATCCAATACCAAGTTGCTTCTACTAATGAGCAATATCAAACAGAATTACAGAAAGTGGCCGCCGGATGATAGCTCCGTCTGCGGCCTGGACCAAAAGTTCTTCCCACAAAGAATATATAAAAAATCGCCCGTCCCGACCAGAATGAGGTGCGCATGCATGCCACTCGCGATTCTAAACAAAAAACAAAAAAACACACGGCCTTCGGATCCCTCGATTTCTCTCCTTCGTTCTCCTCTCCAGTTGGATAATAATGTTTCATTTTTTGTTAGGGGAGGCGTAGGCTGCCAGTGGCAATGTTGTCCCGTATCAGGCCCACGATACCCAGCAGCCCACGCGCGAGCGGAGAAGCGGCCCACGATACCCAGCAGCCCACGCGCGAGCGGAGAAGCGGCCCACGATACCCAGCAGCCCACGCGCGAGCGGAGAAGCGGCCCACGCTCGCTTGCCCGTCCTGCCCGTGAGGTACGTCGGTTCTCGGTTGGCTTCCTGGTGGTGCGATTAGTCCCACCTCGCTCGCGGAGGGGGGTGGGAGGGGGCGAGCCGGGTATAAGAAGGGGTTGAGGGCGGACGGGAGAAGGCATCTTTGCGCTTGGGGCAATGACGCAGCTAGTGAGGTTATACCGAGGCGCGTCAATTGCTGGTTGAAAACTATTTCCAAACCCCCTCTTTGGCCTTCCGGGGCCACTGAGAATTTCTGCAAGGGCTCCCTCTCCTCGGAGAGGGGAAAGCCCTACAAATCTAATCCAAATTTGCTTTATTTTCGCCTGATTGAAATTTGCCATTCACATGATTCTTAAATTTCGATATGGCTCGAGGATTTTTCTGTTTATACGTCAATACTCTTTTTAGCGAGCAGTCGTGAGGTACGTACGCTCAGGTAACCGCTTCCCCATCTAAACGAAAACACGCTTCCCCTGCTGTGTTGGCGTAATACCCGTTACCAGCATACGCATCTCCAGCGACGCCAAATTCCCCGAAAGTTCTTCCCTTTCGCGCCTCCTCCGCACCATGCCGCCGCCGTCGGTGGCGCGGCAGGTGGCGGAGATTGCGGCGGAGCCCGACCGCGCGGCCGCGTACGCGCGCCTCCTCCACCTGCAGCGCGCGTGCGCCGATGACCCCTCCGCCGCGGCCGACCTCGCGGCGGCCTCCCCCTCCGCCCTGCTCCCGCTCCTCCTCCGCGACGCCGCCGAAGATGACGAGGCCGTAGCCGCCTCCGCACTAAAGTGCCTCGGCTTCGCGCTCTACCACCCCGTCCTCGTCTCCACCATCTCAGGTAGTAGCACCTCCTGGTAGCCCCCATCTCGGGCGACCACCATGTTCTTCTGACAATCTGGCTTCTGTCAGTCCATGCCTTGCACGGCTGTAGGTTTACCTCCCAGTCTTCCACTAATACTGTATGGTTAATAAGCCATTGTCTCAGATCCATTTTCCATCATCTAGCAGTTTCATGCTCACACATTGGCCTTTCAATGAGAGCTGGTAGTCTACATTTTCTTAGGAAAACGTAGAAAAATTTCATTTCATGGCAGGTACTCTGAGTACACATTCTAGAAGTTGGAGCTGATACATTTTTTGTTTTGACAGTTCATGAGTTTCTACAATTAAAGAGCCTGTCCCTTTTGCTATTTTAAATCACTATCCGTTGCTATCTCTTGTTTTTTTGATTACCCTCTGAACCGATTAATGTGCTCAGTTGCTCAGGCATGCCCTTGAATCATGAAGTCACTTTGTATACAGCATGGCTCCGGGCCTTTCATCTAAAAAGATCATCAAATTACCTGTTGGTTTGAAGGAACAGTTATAATATCTATTTTTCTTACCCTGCAGGACAGTTGGCTCAATTGGTATTGGCTACTTTGGTTCGGCTGATCATGACCACCAAGATGAAGGTTTGTTCTGCTCACCATTTTTTGTTCTTTTGTTCAGTTTTACTGTGGAGTAATTGAGTTCCTATTTCTTCTGTTAATTTGTTGTTACAGGCTATTTGTAATCTTGCAGTCTGGTGCATTTCTGTTCAACAATTGGAGGCTTCGGTGGTAGAGGATGGAGTAACTCCCTTGCTCAATGCTATTGTTTATGCCCTTGACAATCCATTTGGTTCTTTGTCTACAACATTTGAGGCTGTTCAGGTTATCTTCCCACTTAAACTGCGTTCTATTGCATTACCTCTGTCTTGTTTGGTGAACTAAGTAATTAATCTCATAGTATGCCTATCTCTGTTTTGTTGAACAGAGTAATTAATCTCATAGTATGTTTCTTATAGCAATAAAACAGTTCATGTGAATGATTTCTTTGCAGCATAATGTCGCCAGTAACCAACATAGTTGGCATCTTTTTACAATTGTTGTAACTGAAGGGGTTTACCTCCAGCCCTGCAAGACATTTGCGTAACCTTTTCCAGACAGGCTCAAGTGTTAAGACTGCCGTATTAAGATACATTTTTTCTTATGAAAACAGTTTAAGTTACTAATTAATATATATGCCCACTCTCTTGCTAATGAACTTTGAGTGAATCTGTTTAATTCTATTATCACTTATAATTGCAATGGCAACACTCTTCCTTCAGAAGTATGTTAATTTACTAAAATATCTCGGTAATTATTAGAGTTCATTGCTCTTATATTTCATGTCTTCATCAGGAGGAAAAACAAATTGTTCATAGATGATGTCATTAGATTTTTTCCATGACTCACTAGTTTATTTTATGTTGCCGCACCAGCTAGAAAATCATCCAAGTCGGAGGGTTTTACCTTTTAGTATGAGCACTTTTGGCACAAGTGTGAAGCACACACTTGATTCTTGTTCCTTTTTTGTGGTTTAATGTTTTACCCGCTAGTAATACTTGAACTAAGGCCGTCTTTGAAAACTCTTTCTCAAGGCTACCATGAAACTTGCTAGTCAATATCCAAAAGGAATGAGAGACCAATCAAGCATATGGGTTCCCCCAATATACCGAAGACTCTTAAGTGCTGACAAGCCGGAAAGGGATATGTCTGAAAGATGCCTCATTAAGGTGTCATCAGTTATTTTACCTCCTCAATCTCCTCTTTCCAAGGTAATTGAATAATGACTACTATAATGATTTGGAATTAGATGTTTCTAACTGCTGACATTAGTTTCCTCATTGCGAACTATAGTACCCAGATTGTGTCTTTATAACTGTAAGTCAGGTATCACAGACTTAATTGCCACTAAGCACTTGGCTGTTAACTGTTGAAAATGTTTTTGATCGAGTCTGTTACTGAATACAAATATGCTCTGGGAGCTTCATAGAAAAACAGAAGTCAACATTTGCTTTTCTGTGTAGCACTGAAATGGCCTGCAGTTTTATTTAGTTTGATATGATTATAGAAATCATTTAAGAAAGCAGACTGAAAGTTACAACAGATTAACCTAGGCCAGTTTATATCTGGCACAGTACAATAATGCTTCTCAGTTACATTAATGTTTGTGCTATATTTGAAATGTAGTATTTTCACATCGTTTTGTGATTCCGAGATGTTTATCGTTAAATGATTTAGTCATCTCCTACTACTTCCCCTGTTGCAATGATCCTTGTGTTATTACACAGTTATTTACCAACCTCTTATTGTACCGTTTTACTTGCTAGTGTAATATAAAATTCCAATTTCAAATCCTTCATGTATCGACAGTCCCTCATTTGAGTTTTACTTTGTGCTTGCTGTGCAGGAAGTAGCTTTGGACCTTGAGCAAAAGCTACTCTCTTCTGTGCTTGATATGCTCAATGACCCTTCAAAGAAAATTCAAGCAGTAAAGTCATGGGGATGGTTCATATCCTTACTTGGCGCACGTGCAGCGAGCACTAGACCTCTACTTAACAAAATGCTTAAGGTCCCTGAGCAATTATTTACTGATCCTGATCCTCAAGTTCAGATAACCACAATGGTGAGTTAAACTCTTTCCTCAAGTACAGTTGTTTTCTTTTAAGACAAATATATTCCAATATAATATGATGATATTTTCAGAATTGCAGGTTACCTGGACAAATTTGGTGGATGCATTTTTTGGGCCACAGGCTTTAGAAAATATGGATCAGGGGACAGTGATGTCTCCTATTGAACCCAGAGCACATGCTAGTGCTCAGATGAAAAAGATAAGGCTAATTATGATGCCTTTATGTGGAGTTCTGTCAAGAAGTCATAATATTGCTTTAAGTTCCTCCTGCTTGAGCACATGGCATTACCTTTTATATAAGCTTGGTGATTCGATTAACCATTTATCCATTCTAGAGGCTGCTTTTGGGCCAGTACTCAAGATAATTTTCTCCACTAGACTTGATAATCAGAACAAGCCACTGTGGTCATTTTGCATCAATCTGTTTCATGACTTTATTTCAGTAAGAGTTAGGCATTTGATCTCACCCGAAGATAATGTGTGTGTTCCACTGAATCAGAACTTGCTATCCCAAACTTGTACGCATCTCAAGGTCTTGTTTGATGTTCATCAAATCAAATGGTTACCATGGGATGTTAACAGCTTTGATTTTCAGTTGGAGATCCTTGGCTCAATTGTGAATCCAGAACTACTTCATAACATGACTGCTGACATGGCCGTAACTATTATGGACTCCACAACACAAACTTTCAGGTTGCTTCTACAGGGAGTTCGAGTTCAGTGTAACTCAAAGCTTGCTGATGACAATGCCATGATATGCATTACTAAGGCATGCAAGTTTGTAAAGGAGGTGTTTCTGGATATGGTAGGAAAGCAAAAGAGTAACAGTTCCACACTGTTGGTACAGTTTTGTCTTCAGTTTGTGAAGTGTACTGTAGAGGAACTGGATAATTCTCTGTTGGCTTCTGGAAAGTATGAGTTATGCTTAGACATCGAACAAATAAAGGAGATTGAATATGCAGAATGCAGTCCGAAGCTATCTCATCCAAGAATCAGGCCACTTGCTTACCTGGAGTTGGTTTCTCCAGCAGTTTACTTGACTGCACTATCTCTGTCAATCGTAGCTCAGTTTACTGGAGAATTGTCACCTGGAGATGCCGAGCAATTGGCTTCAATTATCTGTCCACCTGATCTACTGGGGAACTTTCATGTTGTCGTTGCTTTTTTGTATATGCAGATCATGCGTCCAGTAGATAGTCGGCTAAGAATAAAATGGTTGGTGGTGTGGAACAAAGTGTCAAAGCGCTTGAATGAGCAAATGATGTCTTACTTGAAGGTTGGCTGTGGTGCAAGTGGCCATGATGTACTCTGTCAGTTCTTCTGTTACCCATTTTTTGCTCTTGTATCCCCTGGGAGTATATCTGCTCATTGGAATGCTGAAAATAGTTCCGAAGGTTACCTTAACATGACACAAGACTTGGAGGTGGAGCTGGTTATCGAGGTTTATCGATCCTTTTGTACAAACTCCAGTTATTGTTCAGAGCCTGCTTACATGGTTTTCCTAGAGCACTTTTTTGAATATTTGATCCACATAATTGATGAAAACATGTCCCCAATCCAAGCCAATCTCAAGTATTGCTTAGAGAAGAAGTTTAAAAACATTACTATCCTATCTGTTCTTGGCAACGTAGTTATTGGACTACTAGAGAATGCCCAAATTTTTACCTATGCTAACAAAGAGATAGAAGTAACGACAAATGAGGAGCCTGCTGGATCCAAAGGACCTAACCTTATGTTGACTTGCTTGAAGCTTGGTAACAGGTGTGTTGAATTTCATTTCTAGATGAAACGCGTCTAGATTATCCTGCCCACCTTAAGAAGATGCCAAGCATGGCCAATGATTTGAAGATATTACAGTAATCTCTAATCATTTTTTGTTATATATGTGCAGGTTTATGAAGCTATCAGGTCTTGCTTTCAAAGAAAATCCAGCTGCACGACACCAAGTCACAAGCAGGTAAGTAGCCAGATTCACAAAATTGCAGATTAATTTCGATAGCAGCACGCTGCACTTAATTCTGTTTACATCTCTGCCTTCTGTTATGCTTCAGGTATTTCTCATCTTTATCTGATTTTGTTGGACATCTTACATCGATGAAAGACATTCTTCTACTCTTTGAGGTTTGTGCCATCTCCCCAGTCTCGAAGGGCATCATCTTCATATGTGTTAAACTGTTAATACAAGCATATACTTTGTGTGAAATGCTAACTGCATGATAAACATCACATCATCCGTGCAGATAATTGGGGATCAATTTACTGAATGGCTCACCTTATCTAGCACATCGTGCGGCATAATACATCAAGGAGAAACCATTGACCAGCTTGAGAAACTCTGGCTCAACACTGTCACGTGCCTGACGACGAGCCGACTCATCAGCGACTGCTCCTTCCTTGGAAAGCATCATCTGCTTCTCCAAGTGGCGGTTGACCACCCACACGGCCCCATTTCAGCTGCAACCACGGCAATCCGGAGATCACCAGGATCCAGCAACGCAGGCTTGCGGCACGCTGGACGTCGGTCAGTTTCCAAGGCAGATGAGCTGTCTCTAGACAGATCAGGGAAGGATCATAACTGTGCTAGCGACGCCGAGAGGGCCTTCGTGCTCGAAGAACTCAACATCTCGAGGATGTCCGTGGCGCCAATGTTGTTGGGTAGAGGAACCGGCACGTCAAACACGACTGATCGCGCCCCGAAGAACCGTGAGTCGCTCAGGGTCTCTGCCGGTCTGGGGAGGAAGAGGCTGAAGATTATGAGGTACTCAGGCAAGGGGAAGGGACCCGGCAAAGTCACCGACGCCTCCTTCTCGCCGGGCTGGGCGGAAGGTGAAGTTTGCAGGAAACCAGAACTTATATTGGAAATGCTCAAGAGGAAGAGATAGTAGCTTGAACCCATCCCCATGTATGTATGCCATGGTTGTGTACTTGTATATGTATCTAAGTGAAGCCTACGCCGGACCTCCATTAGGAAAATAGTGTACGCCTGACAAGAAGTGATGCCAAGACATCACTGCACTTTACGCCATCACCCAGCCAGCAGGGTGAGGAGTGATGCCGTCTCCAACCTGCATGCCAGCTTCGCAGTGTCTGCTCTCCATTCGTCAGAATCATCAGCGCCAGTCAGGGTTGAAACATCATCCTCACGTGTCGATTCAAATTCAGCATCATTTTCCAGTGACTTCAATTTTTTTGCATGCTTCACTTTTTGTTATTTGCTGAATTTGTTTTTCTCATAGCTCCCTGAGCGAGATTGATTTGAAACTGAAATTTTACATGTTTGCAGAACATCAAACTGTCCAACACACTGAGCATCATCACCAGTCAGGGTTGAAACTGAAATTTTACATGCTTCAGAATTTTGAAAGATCGTTTCCACCAGATAGTTTCTCTTGACTTGTGAGCAGTTATCAGTTGCTACTTGCAATTGATACCCAAAAAACTAAGCGTTTGGAGCTAGGAGTTATCTAAGCATTTCAGAACTGATACTCATCAGATGTATAGGAGTTATCTAAGCATTTCAGAACTGATACTCATCAGATATGACCATGAAACATTTCATAACTGTAATATCACGAAGCATCATCCAGGTATAAAAACATAACTTGACCACATCCAGGGGCCATACATCATATAAAGAGACTGAAAAGTTCAACAAGTACGAGCAGAAAGCTAAGCGTCTGGAAATAGTAGGAACGAAAAACTAGGAATATTAAGCTGACTGGCATCTGGAAATAGGAAGCTGGAGTTGAATGTGCCAAAGCACTCTAGTTTGATGGGCTTCCTGGACCACTTGAGGATCCATTCGGAGAATCACTCGGTTCAGTTCCACTGGCCACATCCTGCTTGATGTCCTCTTTTTCATCAGCTGCAAACCTTCCAATGATCACCTGCGCGTCAGCACATCAAAATGCAAACCATTAGGAGAAAGCACAAGGTTCTCAATTGCATTATATGTATGTTTTCGTGAAACGATGCTATTTCCCAAACAAGCTATGTACCATATAAAGAAGCACATCATGATTTTCAGTATGAATATTAATATGTATACAATGTAACTCATTTGGCAGCAGACATTTTGTTTTCGAAACGCAGGAAGCACATATAGACTTAATAAATACTTAGTTAAACAAACAGAGCAAGATACAATGGAAGCTATTGGTATATATGGAACGAAGATCTTGGTTGTTCTTTTGGTAATCTGCTATTGGTATATTATATATATGGAGCAAGATGCAAGTGAAAGATGGTAACCTGAACAGATGATGCTGCAATCAGAGGTCCTGCTAACCCACCGCCGAAGATGCGGCCATCAGCACCGACAAGCGAAATGGCGAACCCACCCTTTAGAGAGCTCACTCCATCAGTTTTTGACGGCAGATACGAGCCGGTCATGGAGACAATGTCAAAACAACCCTGCATATTACGTACATGCTAAGGATTAGATATTGTTTAGAGTTGGTAACAAATCTAGAGTCCAAACAATGATGTTTCATTTTTGGACGACCAGAACTACACAACGCTATGTTTCCCCTTGCGATATTCTCTATGCTGGTAAAGGAAACAATTAGACAATCTCTCTACCTACTATCTCACATTTCATTTTGCTTTTATAATTCTCTTAATTTGGTTGGAGCTGAACTTTTATTTTGAAAACATACCAGAAAAAAGGGATTTCTAGTGTACAGATTCAAGCTAAAACAATAGAGCAAACCTTATGCATAACTGTTTCAAGCGGAGAAGCTGGTTGATGCAGTGTCACATTGGATACGGCGCCCTCGGCAGACATGATAAAAACTGCCCAACCATTCCCACCATACGACTTGACTTCCATTGCCACATCCTGGAACCAGGGGTTCCTTATTAGAATCTTACAATACATGCATAATATGGGGTGGAATAGAGAACTTATGGAAAAGATGCGAAGGGCAATAAAAAAGGGGAAAAGAGAGGGACAACACTAAGCTCTCTTCAACATATTGTAGGATGGATATAGACATAACCGGTTGAAAAAATGTGCTGAATAATAAATCAAGAAAGAGCCAAATGTTATCTCCAAATTTTACACCAAATAGGCATTGCTATCCCGATATTTTTTCTCCGCTTCTAGCCCGAGTCCGATCCAGATCCGGTCGTTATCCACTTCGAATCCGAAAAAATAAGTATGGTAAAGGGTATAGGGAAATCATTAATAATCCGATCCGATCCGTTTACACCCCATCTGCCCAGAGCTAAAGCGTCCCTCCCGCTTAAAAAAATATATCAAGTGCAAGTCATTTCAATATACATATGTACAACGCACATAGCGTTAAGTAGAGGCAACTTTGCTCATTTTTTTCCTAATATTTAACACTAATGCACCCACAAAATAAACTTTATTTTTTTTCTAAAAGGAACCACTTCATTTGGATATTCTAACATCTAGTATCCAGATATACTACGACGAAATATTAATAGAGCACTGAATGTCTCTAGGAGCATTATAAGAGTAGGAAAATTTACCTGTCCACCTTTAACTATGATGATTTGAGGAACTATTACAGTCCCACATGGCTCTGCCAGATAAAAAAAATCCATTTCAAATTAGATTTTTTGGGAAATATATTGTAATTAATGCTGGCGAACTGATGACAACACTCATGTGCATGCGCCTATAAACAGTACTACATGATCTGAAATAAACTAACATCCTAGAAATATAATTTCAAAGCTTCAGGGAATACGACGAACGTGTTGCAGGAGTAGGAAGAGCTACCTTGTTCAGCATCGGCCAGGCGGGCGTCGACGGTGGGCTGTGGCTGTGGATGAAGTGGACTCTTGTGCATCCCATCGCCATAGGCCGCTTTGCCCGCACCCGCCGGGATGGCTCCTCCTCCTTCCATTGCCTCACGAGCACAACACACACACACTGACACAAATAGAAGAAACCCTCACTTGTTTTACTGGTAACTCGATGCCTGAAAATGCACAAACCCAGGGCTTTTTATAGGGCAGTGGGTGGGATGTGATTTGGACGTGGGTATTCTTTGGGGTGCCTTTAGATTCATTAATTACTTGCTTCCTTTTGGTTCTCAGAGGATGTATTTTTTGGAAATTTCTTGATTGGTCACTTTGGATGTGTTCAGAACTTCAGATGATGAGCTAGGTTATTTTCTTCCTATTTTACGGATTTTCAAATGAAACCATGGCAGAACTATAAATGTAAAATCTAAAGTTGACAAAACAATTAATGAAACTACAAAGATAGCGCATCAGTATAAATGAAATCCCAAAGATGGAAAACAATAAATGAAAATCCAAAGATAAGCTTATCTTTGGATTCTCATTCATTGTTTGTCATATTTAGATTTTCATTTATTACTTGCTATCTTTGGATTTTGATTTATTGCTACGCCATTTTTGGATTTCATTTATGTTGTGCGATCTTTGGACTTTTCATTTATTATTATGCCAAATTTGGATTTTCATTTATTATTATGACATTTTTTGGATTTTTAATTGTTGTTATGGACTTCGGATTTTTATGGGCATTCCTCCACTCGACTCTACCAGTTGCTATCTTTTCAAGTGGGCCATGTTTGGATTTACAATGCGTGAATGATATGTTAGAGGGGTGGGTTTACCATCCACTCAAGCCGACTTTATACATGACATGGTTTAGGTTCGGAATGATCAGAATTTTTCATAGAAACCGTGCATCTTCATTACCAACTAACAAGCGCACACAAAAACACACTAACGACTACTAGAGACCGAGAGAAGGCATGCGAATTAGATTTTTTTCCAGGAAAGCCCCCCAAAAATAGAAAAATAATATCAGGTGCTTTAGGGGTCGTTGCACACACCACAAGTCCACAACCATGGTTTGCCACCAACCTCAATCACCATCGAGGTGCTCATTGGAAGAGAAGCCAAGCCTCCACTGCCGAAACTGAGGAAGTGCCATCGCTAGAGAGGATTTGAAAGACGAAGAATACACACATTGCAAGTATTGAGGCACATTGGTTGTGGAACAATCCCGCGTTGACTTGGGCTTAGATCTATCTATATATCAACCCAATGATATTCTGGAAGAACGGTAGATCTGCCAACTTTGAACCACCACCGCTCCAAAGCCACTATTGATTTCCTCTCGGTTGCTTGCCTCCGAGAGGCAACAACTTCCATCAACAAACTGAAAAACAAATCTCGCTACCTAACGGAGCGATGAGCCTACTAGGACACCAGATCTTTGAAGTCACCATGGCAAGGAAGAACCGGGGAAAGATTATTAAACCACTAGAGAAACATATTTCCCCCACCCATCGTGGGAGCGGTGGGCGCGCGAGGGGGGGGGGAGAGTGAAATAAAGACTCGAAAACATAAGAATTGGATCGAGCAGGTGTTCTAATGCTAGAAAAAACTACTCCATCGGCCTATTCCGTTTATGCTTCATCAATGACCTTACTCTTCATTACCTCCATGACAGGTCGTTGCAATATTCCACAATACAAATAAAGAGATGCAAAAGAGTAAGGATCTCACCAAGTTTATAGTGTTGTCGAAGAGATTGGAGGTGACACCCTTCGTTAATTCCGTAATATGATCATTGGTGATATGATCTGCCATGAGATTAGCAATCTTGGAATCAAATATCTAATCATTGAGTTGATCCACCATGCGCTTGCCCGCCTTGAACTCAACAATTTGATTGCAGAGACAATTTTTTATGTGGTTGTCCACCTTGTGCTCGCAACCATTGTGACAGGTGGATCTATGTTGTACTGACATAGTTAAACTAGGAGAGTGGATTCTTTTGAGATGCAAGGAAGAAGTGACTTCATCGGAACTTAGATAGGGATGGAGGTGGTGTCGGAATCGAGATTGAAAGTGGAGAACGGGAGGT